GTGTGTTGGCCAGTGATAGCTTAGGTTCACATTTGGATCACCACAGGTCAGATGTGACAGGTATCTATCTACACAACATCTGTCCATGTATCTCTCTTTTTCTCTCTCATCTGTAATATTTACAAGAATGCAACACAGGAGTGAACTAAAAATAGCACTAAATCCATATTGCATTCATGTTTTAACAAATGTACATAACAACTGATGGGGAGTTCTGATAGTTACCAGGATTTCAGCAGTCATCTATTCCTCCCCTGCTGCTGACCTGATGAAAAATGCTCCTCTGAAGCACATATGTGCTATGATAGGAGAATTCTACTTGTCAGCAATGCAAATAAGCAATTTGAGAGGCATGTTCTTTTCCTGCATGGAAAGGGGTTGGACTAGATGGCCTTACTCTATTATTCTTCCACCTCTATTATTCTATGAATTTATGAAAAGATAAAGAAGTTGTTACACTTATTCTTCCCCAAATATTCTAATAGGTATCCCACGCCTATACACATACACGCCCATACCTGACATTTGCTACCTAATGATCTTGGATGAGTTAGGGACCAGAATGCATATAACACCATACTGTCAATTTTCTCTGCCTTTTTCAAGTGAAAATGTGCTTGCCAAAGAGCTTGTAGCACAATGAGAGCTTCCATATTACAGGGAAACCATCAGGGACATGTGATACTCCTCCTGAACTGCTTTCCTTGAGAAGCTGTCTCTCTGTTTTGTGTTAAATCATCTTTCCTCAGAAGTAGTGTCCAAGACTCAGTGCTCTGGGGGATTCTTGGATCTAATAGAATTGTGCCTGTGAAGCTAAAGATGATGGGATTTGTTTCTTATAGACAGAACAATGCTAGGCAAGCCAAGAGCATATCCTTTGGGGCTGTGATTTACTGAGTGGGTGACTTTCGCACTCTTTGAAACCTTTACTTGCTTGGACTGTGTAAAGTCAAAATGTCTCTGGAAGTGGCTTTTGTGAACAAAAACACATGCTGGCAGCCACTTTGATGATTTTTTTTCATCGTCTAAGAGTAAGCACTGGCCCAATGCAACAGAGGCATTTTACGCGCCAATAGCATTCACAGGCATCAAAGGCTGTCAAATGATCCAGTGACATTGATTTATCTGCAGGCCAACATGTGCAATGAGAAAACTGGAAAGCATTTCATGGAATGAAAACCTAGAATAATTTTCTCCAATCTGGACTCCTCAAGATGGACCTGCTAAATATGACGACCAAGGATGATGGGATTTGAAGGATAATGTATCTGAAGGGTAAGACACACTTTGCATTTAACATGAAGAACACTTTTTTTTTGTTCCTCAAGTCAACTCGCATTTATGGCAACCCTCTCTGGGATAATGATGGCAAAATTACCTTCCTCTGCCTTCATCCAAGGCTAAGAATGTGTAACTTTCCCAAGGTCTGCCAATGAGTTCCCATATCTGAGTGGGAATTCAAGCCCTGGTTTTTCAGAAGCCTAATCCAACATTGTACCAGTTTTCATTAGGGAGAGGCAAATCAATACCTTAGATATGGATATGCCACTTTATCATGTTCTTATCCATATAAATTCTTTCTTACTGATTTAATTGGTGCATTTGAATATTCATACAAATGTTCACTTTTAAAAGCATTTGCAAACATGTTCCTTTGAAGAATAGCAACTTGTTTCCATTCATATCCTGCCCTTTGGCTAGTGAGCTATTCTCCACCTTGTGATCACAATAACCCTCTGATGAGATTGTAATGCCAGCACCTCCTGTACTATTATGGTGAAGATATTATAGGTTCAAAGTGTAACTACAAAGCACACTTCAAGGCAGAAACTGTTTGGCTGTAGAGAAATGAGGTTTTGAGATAGTTTCAGGACATTGTTAACAATCTTTGAGAGTACTTTTGCAGCTATTTTCAAAAACCAAGGTACATTTTCTTAGAAATGTAATTCAACATTTGGCTGGAAAGACCACTTCATTGACAGTGCCATGACAAGAAAGTCTACATGTTTTCAGAAAACGTCAGAAAAACCCAGTAGCCCAGTGCTACTCAGTGGTCAGTGGATAACCACTGGTCCACAAGTCATCAGCTACTGGGAAACACTGAGGTTCAGGGGAAAAACAGACAGTAAGGGCAATATGCTACAGTCCCTAATATGTTAAAGAAAGTAATAGGAATAGCAAAAATATTCCAAAATTTTGAAAAAGAAGTCAAAAAACACAGTAATGGAAAGAATCCCAAACTGACACTCTTTCATGGTTGAAGGCATTTTCTGTGTAAAGTCTCACATGGTATATTTGCACAAAACAGCATTTTCTTTGCAAACATATTCTCTCCTGTGCAGAAAATGCTTTGTCTTCTACTAAAAGTAGCACTTTTGTGAAAACCACCATGAGTGGATTTTCTGTCCAGAAAATTCTGTTTTTTGTTCAAAAATAGAACACAGGAACTTTTTGCAAAATAAGTCCCAAAGTGCAAATAGCCTTCAAAGAAACTGTGCACTATTTAAAGACTTTTTCTCAGTGGGAAAAATGCGAAAGGTATTACTTGTTTCCTTCAAGAACAATATTAGAGAAGTACACCCCTAAAAATAACGTACTGTTTTGCCACAACAGACAAGCACTGATGTAGCTGACATGAAAAAAATGGTTTGCCTTATGTTCTTTCATGCGAGGTAGGCCTGTCTTATGTAGAACCCTGTTGTTTTGTTCTGAAATGTCAGCTGCCATCAATATTTCAGCAGAAGACACTGGAGAGGCTTTACATAAGTCAATGCAGGGCAGAGCTATTCCAGCATGCATTGTTTTAAAGGCAAAACCAATGCAATGGCAATTCCAACCAACAGGAAATAGCTATCCCAATCATGACCTTCTACTTGTAATTACTTGTTGAAATGAAAAGTCAGATGGCCTTCTGGTAGTCCAAAGGCCAAGAGTCAAGCTATTCATCAGAAAAGGGGAACCAAATCAAGCAGGGGTATGTTTCCTAATGCTTCCTCTTCATCTTGGAAAGAAGTGACGAGCGGAGTGCCGCAGGGTTCCGTCCTGGGCCCGGTCCTGTTCAACATCTTTATTAATGACTTAGATGAAGGGCTAGAAGGCATGATCATCAAGTTTGCAGACGACACCAAATTGGGAGGGGTAGCCAATAGTCCAGAGGACAGGAGCAGAATTCAAAACGATCTTGACAGATTAGGGAGATGGGCCAAAACTAACAAAATGAAGTTCAACAGTGACAAATGCAAGATACTCCACTTTGGCAGAAAAAATGAAATGCAAAGATACAGAATGGGGGACGCCTGGCTCGAGAGCAGTACGTGTGAAAAAGATCTTGGAGTCCTCGTGGACAACAAGTTAAACATGAGCCAACAATGTGATGTGGCGGCAAAAAAAGCCAATGGGATTTTGGCCTGCATCAATAGGAGCATAGTGTCTAGATCTAAGGACGTAATGCTACCCCTCTATTCTGCTTTGGTTAGACCACATCTGGAATATTGTGTCCAATTCTGGGCACCACAATTCAAGAGAGATATTGACAAGCTGGAATGTGTCCAGAGGAGGGCGACTAAAATGATCAAGGGTCTGGAGAACAAGCCCTATGAGGAGCGGCTTAGGGAACTGGGCATGTTTAGCCTGAAGAAGAGAAGGCTGAGAGGAGATATGATAGCCATGTATAAATATGTGAGAGGAAGCCACAGGGAGGAGGGAGCAAGCTTGTTTTCTGCTTCCTTGGAGACTAGGACGCGGAACAATGGCTTCAAACTACAAGAGAGGAGATTCCATCTGAACATTAGGAAGAACTTCCTGACTGTGAGAGCCGTTCAGCAGTGGAACTCTATGCCCCGGAGTGTGGTGGAGGCTCCTTCTTTGGAAGCTTTTAAGCAGAGGCTGGATGGCCATCTGTCAGGGGTGATTTGAATGCAATATTCCTGCTTCTTGGCAGGGGGTTGGACTGGATGGCCCATGAGGTCTCTTCCAACTCTTTGATTCTATGATTCTATGATTCTATGTGCAGAAGAGATTCAGGAACTGGACCGAGTGTCTGAGCTGGCTTGGATGTTGTCCATGAAGTGGGTTAATAATATTGTTTCCAGTAGTTGTACAGCATTTGCTGCCTGCTTTATCTATGGAGTCTGGTTGTTCTATGCAAAAAGCTGGGGCCATGCTAACTGAGTTGCATGTATGTCAAGCTTCCCTGCAAACACTAAGTTGAGGGCATGTTTTGTGGCCAAAGTTGTGGATTTTCATATGGCTAAAACAAAAGTCATTCTACAGAGAGGGGAATACACAAATGCCACCTTAGGGGGCCACCTTCCCCTGGCCACTGCCACCATTTCTCTACCTAGGCATTCGAAAAGGCTAAAAGCAACATGATGACAGAAATAATAATAATAATAATAATAATTATTATTATTATTATTATTATTATTATTATTATTATTATTATTATTTAATTTCTCCTGGAACAGACTAAGTTCTTGCCCTTCACCACTCTTCTCAGAGAAGAGGATCATTCCTTTTTTTTTACAAAAAAAGGGTTACGGTACAGTTACGCATAGACCAAGTTGACCCTTGTTTTTGGGGTTGATTTTTGACTAAAATCTCTAGACACATACATGAGTATATAGAGGTCTATAGCTATTGTCAAATAGTACCGACATGGAATGACAGCAGCCTGGTAACGTGTCTGACACCAAATCATGCCAACTTTAGAAATGACGTTCTATAGTTTTGGTTACAAATTTTATCATGATATAATGCAAAGTCTTTGGTACGAAGACACTTGCAAACCGTACAATTGCCATATCTGTGTGGTTTCACTTCTGGGATGCACCACAAATACAAAAAACATGAGTGTTCACACCTCATATTAAATGGTGAATGCATTCATTTCAGCGTGTCCATATCCATGTCACTGCCATTTGCTAACATGAGGCATGACAATACACTGTTACTGGAAATCATGCTGAATGAAAATATGTTCAGGAAACACATAAGAAGCATTATAGACTAGAGCCTTAAATTGTTTTATTAAAAGGTGTAAATTTCAGCCAAGTTAGTTATTTCAGTGCAGATACAATCTGGAGATAGTGACCCACACTTGCTATTAAAAAAACATAAAAAGGGGTGGGAAAATCTGTTTCACACGTAGGATGGCCAAGCTGTTCAGCATCTAGACAGGTCATAATGACATCAAAGAACCTTGATAGAATACAACTTGGGAGTTCATTGTAGGTCACCAACCCTGTCCTTAGCATGCAAACCCAGGCCTTAGAAGAATGGATTTTGAGAGAAGGAATGGGGATTTGGGAATGAATCTACACTTTTTCCATTTACCAAAGCACTTGTGTTCTACATGACACTACTGCCTTTTACTGCAAACTTCTACAAAGGTTAAGAGTATATACTGAAAAAAACTAGGGCAGCCTTCCATGATCCAGCATCTTCTAAATGTGCTGTACTACAAATTCCTTTATTCATGTGTTTCTTTGTTTGCTGCATTTGTATGCCCCTTTTCTCCCAGAGCAGGATCCAAAGCGGATTATTCCCAGCCAACACTCTGGGAATGGTAGGAACTGTAATCTTACCCAATTGAAGAGTGCCAAATTAGGAGAGGCTGTACTAAGAATAAAAAAATAAAAGAAGAAAGAGAGTGTGTTTGCATGTTTATTTCCTCCTACTGTACAATTAAGCTATAAATAACTTCTGGATAAAATGCCTAGGTGTCAATGAAACTTGTGTTAACTGATTACATTCGAGGAAATCTCAATCCCATGCCACTTGTCATAGCTTTCTTATTCCAGTGTCTTTTCCTGTTTCTTGCCTTCTTTTTTCTTTTTCTTGGGTTCTGTTGAGACAAAAAAGATCAAGAAAAGCATTACAAGTGCATCAGAAATAAGGTTGGCTCTAGAGGATGGGAAAGTTGGCATTTACCACTCTTTTAAGACTTCCAGGAATTCCTAGGAACTTTCTTTGCATAGAGTGTCCAGGAATAGGAGCAAAAGCAGGGGCTTTAGCAGTCTTTCTTTTCCCATTTTCAGGGAATTATGATGACTTTCTGGATATGGGTAGAGCTGTGACCACTCTTTTGGATTACTCAGAATGCTTCACTTAAAGGAGCATTTGGGTGAGAAATGGTAACCACCACAAAAATATGATGAATACCAGACTGGTAGAACTTTTAAGAGCTATGATAAGCTTCACACATTTCCTCCTTCTGCCCTCTTCAAACTGACGAAAAGATCCTAAAAGCATAGAATCATAAAGTTGGAAGGGATCACATGGGCCACTGAAATTCAGCCTTCTGCTCAATGTATGATCTCTGCCTAAAGCAGTCCCAGTCTAGTTTCTTTGTAAAGCCCTCTACCTCTCTAAACAATTGGTTCAGTTGCTGGACAGCTTATATTGTCAAGATGTTCCTTCTAATTTCAATTTAAAAAATACCATCCTGTAAATTCAAAGCATTTGACCTGGTCTTATCTTTTGGGACAGCAAAGAACAAATATGCCCCCTTTCTATAACAGCCCTTAAAGCAGTGGCTCTCAACCTGTGGGTCCCCAGATGTTTTGGCCTTCAACTCCCAGAAAGCCTAACAGCTGGTAAACTGGCTGGGATTTCTGGGAGTTGTAGTCCAAAACACCTGGGGACCCAAAAGTTGAAAGCCACTGCCTTAAAGTGTTAAATAGTGCCCTCAGATTCGTTTTTATCAAGCTGAACATGTCCAGCTCCATCAGCCTTTTTTCATATGTTTTATACTTCATATCTTTTATCATCCTTGGTGCCATTCAATGAACCCATATCAACTTGTCTATATTCTTTTTAAAATGAGACATTCTGCTTTGATTTCCTGCATTTGTGGTACATCAGGCATTGGTAGGGCATTTCAGCCCACCACTGGAAGAACCAGCTACTATAGGTCTGCATGACTCCCCTTGTTTCATCCATCTCTTCTGATTACAGGAAGGAAAATGACTGTCTGATACAGAGACACAATTGGCAAACTCCTTGTTTCTAATTCTGTTGTGCCTTTGCAGCCAGAGAGGCTGAATGGTGCCATCAATCAGAAAGACCCAACAGAATTACCAGGCACCTGAAGAGGCTGATTAGAAAGTGGAAATCCATAGTTGTGAATCATACAGGCATTCAGCTGGGCAGCTTCTTGAGTTGAGTGGGTGTTCATATTGTTCCAGTGCTTTCCACAGTGTGCAGTTTGGGAAAGTGAGCAAGTGAACAAACGAGGACAGCATTAAGGCTTAGAATAGCTGGTCACCAACTAATGATTCCCACCACCACTGAAGTTCCTAGATCTGCCGCTGCTTCTTTTTACTTGCACAACTACCACTGCAAGTACATTAATGATAATTGGTTAGTGACAGGCCCATAGCCAGAATTTTGATTCGGGGGGGGGGGGCTGCTGAGTTTGTTTCGGGGGGGGGGCTGAGTCTGAGTGAAAGAGGTTATACCCTAGCAAACCTTTTGTATCATTACCCCAATACCCCCATGCATATGGGATATATTGAGTATGGTGATCAGATCATGATATGAATAAACATAACAGTTTAAATAATGCACCAGTAAGACCTTTTCGCGAACCACCATGAGAATTTCGGGGGGGGGGGGCTGAAGCCCCCCCCCCCCCCCCCCCCCCCCCCCCCCCAAAATTTTGATTGTTGAAGCCCTTCACCCCCCCCCCCCCCGGCTACATGCCTGGTTAGTGATTATGTTGTCTGAAGACAAGATGATGTTATTCCCATTCCATATGCAAATATTGATTGAATTGGCAATTCTGTCTTAATTCAGCAAAATAGTTTCTTCTAACTAATGGGTTGGCAGGGAGACATACTTATGACCTTGGTTCCCATGTTGAAAGAAAGATGAGATAAAAATAAAATTAATAAAACAGAATAGTAACTTGCCAAGCTTTAGATAGGAATAAGGAGAATTAGTTAAAGTAACACTGACCCACCATATTATCTCCTAATGGACAGTGGTGCCCACAGATACAGAGCAAGAAAATAGCAGCAATGTTCGGCTTCAGCTTACTCTCTAGATACATATTCTCCAAATATTCCAGTCTTGATTAGTTGTCAGAATCTCACTTTTAAAATGTTCCAATTTCTCTCTCCTCTTCCTATTTCCCACTTTGTTTTCTGTTTATTTTAATTTTATATATTTATGGTTTTATGTTTCAGCATTGAATGTTTGCTGTATATATGTTGTGCTCCACACTGAGTCCCCTGCAGGTTGAGAAGGGTGAAATATAAACGTTTTAAATAATAAATAATAAAAATAAATAATTGCTGCAAACTGAATATAAAGTGCAAGCGTAGATGCCCTTCCCAGTAGGCTCAGTCAGAAACAAACGGCTGCAGCCTCTCCTAGCTTGCCTATTCTTCCTCATTCATAACATTTGCCATCCTCACCATACTCTGATATTGCTTGAACATCTCTAAACTATTGGAAGGCAGGAAGATGTTTTATGCAGCAACACCCTCCACTTAAAAAAAGGGCAAAAAAACTTCCAAATTTTGGAACTAGTACTGAACACAACCCATTTTTGGAATAATACGAGTTAGAAAAACAAAAGCAGCTCTCTCCCCTGTGTGCATTTGACACTGCCTCCCTAGCAGGCAAACGTTGCTTCTTAAAAGAAAGAACACAAAATGAAAAGAGTTGGAATGGGTTTGAAAGCAACCAGGGTGTGCGTATCAGCAGGGAGAGGGGAGGGATTGTGATTCAGGCAAAATCTTTCCTATCTCAAGAACCAGCTCTATTTGGCATGCAAGCTATTGTCTCAGGGACTCGCTTAGAGAGAAAGAAAGAGAAAGTGTGTGTGGGGGGGGGGGGGAGAAAAATCCTGAAAATAGCAGGCAGCTCCTGAAGAAAGCAGGTCATGGCTCAGTGGAAAGCATGCGAAAGAATTTTATACATATGTCTCTAAACATACAAATATTGCTAAGGCATCTCTCACCTTTGCTTTCTTATTTATTGGGGAATCTTTGGGGTTTTCAGAGAATGAACTTGACTCTGGAGGTGGGTGAGAGGGCTCCCTCACCTCATGCTGCCCCCTTTTCTCTCCCCCTCCCCCTCCTCAGCGGCTGACAGTGTTTACTCTTTCAGCTAAGGACAGAGTATTGAAGGGGAAAGAAGAAGAAAGAGCAACAACAGATAATGGCTACCAAGAAACACAAAGGCAGTGAAAATAGGAAACAAAATCAAAGTCAGTGAAGATGGAAAACAATACTATTGAAAGTCCAAACTGGACATTTTAGGGGCTAGACCTGTCCAAGTGAAATTCTTTTTTAAAAGAGCAAAAAACAACAATATAACCATCCATAACACATCAACACACTCACCCACAAATACATTCTCTCCAGCCTCTCATCAGACCAATATTTAGCATGTATTCAAGTAGAATTTGAGGTGAAAGTTGTCACATCTCTTGCCCCTTCTCCATGGCAGCTCTTGGTTCTGCATCACTGCTCCAGGTTTTCATCTGAATTCATTTAAAGAGTTATCTAAAGTTGTTGGTAATGATTGCGAATTCAAGACATTTCTGACTTCTGCCAACCTTAAGATGAACATGTTCTGGAGTTCCTTTTTGAAAGGTTTGTTAGGATAGGATTCACCAGGCTAAGAAGGTATGACTTGTCCAACTCACAGAGATCTGAACCTTGGTTTCAAAGAGTCCTAGTACAGTATTCAAATCACAATACCATGTTGGCTTTCTTATCTAAAGTGTTAAACCAATGGGGTGAATGGATTAAAGATTCAACACCTTGGATAGCCCATTTCAAGTGTGGGCTGGAGCCAAAACAGGATGAATTCAGTTCCTCACTGACATGGAAGCCAAATCCTGCCTCAGCTCTACTCTCTAGCAATGCTTCTGGCCATATCAAACCCGGTAGCATTCACACAATAAATTAATCTGTGTATACTTGTTTGTTTGTTTGTTTAGTAACAGCTAATGTGGCACACTAATAGGAAGATTTATCCCAAGTCTGTTACTCGGAGCTATGCATCAATGGCCTCTTGACACTACCTGCTCTGCTCACAGGACAAGAAGTTGGAAAGGCAGCATTTCACTGAATTTCTTGAATGGAGGAGAAATGTCATGTGGGGCTCATCACCGGGAGCCTCTGGTGGCACAATGTGCTGGCAGGACTGCTGACTGATAGGTCAGTGGTTTGAATGTGGGAAGAGCGGATTGAGCTCCCTCTGTCAGCTCCAGCTTCTCATACAGACAGATGAGAGAAGCCTCCCACAAGGATGGTGAAACATCAAAAACATCCAGGTGTCCCCTGGGCAACGTCATTGCAGACAGCCAATTCTCTCACACCAGAAACAACTTGCAGTTTCTCAAGTCGTTCCTGACATGAAAAAAAAATGATTAACCTTAGCACAGTTTGTTGCTTCATGAAAGGTTTCCTCTATCTTCCCTTGTCTGTGTAATTTTTGGGTGCCTAATCCCATGGAGAGCTCAATGTCATGGCAACAGGGAATGGGCTTCAGGTTTTAGTCTGAACTTTTTTTGATGCTAAAAAAAATCTCTCTTTTTGGTTAGAAAAATGAGAATTGATTTCAAAACTGCTCTGTCTTTATATTGTTTATATATTGCATAATATATTGTTTATACCTATAGTATACAATTCATATATAAACAACAGAGATAGTTAGACAGGTGATCAATAAAAGGAAACATAGATAGCTATAGATGATAGAGAGATAGCGAGATAGATATTGTCTATATATTTTAGTAGTCTTGACTTTAAAAGACACATGCAAGCTGCAGAACCTCAAAATAAGTTCAGCATCTATATAGTTCAGACTGAAATCTGCAACAAACAC